ATATGACAGATTCGCACTACTTTAATTCGTCCCGTTTCCCGTTATTTTCACACACACGCACACTGCGCAACTATGCATAATTCAAACTAGTATTGTTAAGATTCTGATAGAATAGCACCCTATAATGCCACAGGCGTTACAATACATCTTAATCAGATGATGATATTACTAAATGATGTCACAAACTATCGCCAGAATATCTCAAGTTTGCTTTTCATGAAAACGAATTTATAACTAGGACATGACGCACAGAATTACCATTCTCATTTTACATTTAATAAACTAGATAAACTTCCAAACCAATTGGTTGTTTTACGATATAGGGTCTTCTGTATATATATATTTTTGTTAAGCTATTATTATCTTGTATATTAATTTTAATCGCCCGGCAATTAACGGACTCATAAATAATAGACGTTCCAACACACAGACCCTTAACTTGGCTGATAATCAATAAATAAGAATTGTGGGAAAGTGTCTGAAATCAGCAAATAGTGAATCGATGAAATCTTCGTCTCGTGGAAAACGATAACATTCAAGGGAGTTCAGATAGAGGGTCCAAACTAAAGTGCCACATGAGGCCTCCGCTCCAGGTCCTAGTAAAACTCTTGATGGGGGAAAAGGGAAATAAATATTAGCATTGTATAATTGTGCTTTAGATCACGATATATTAGGAACCGCAATCTCAAATTTGGTGAAAAATGTTTTTATTCCAACACGGCCTCAAGTGGCGTGACGACAGCGGGGTATTCCTGTCCAACAGGCAGGGGAGGGGTACTTTTTATATTTATTTTGGCGGCATGTCTGCAGTATATAGGCCTATAGGCTTATATATATTCATATATATATTTATTTATATATATTATGACGGCCTCCATGTAGTATCATAGCGACCTACATTATATCGTGACTGTCGGCCGATATATAATGACGACCTGTCTAAATTATATTAGAGCGTATACTGTATACTACATTCGAACAGTCGACTGATTAACCTAGGGGTTTTAAGTATATCATAAGCTGACGACGATATGATACATTTAATGGAACCCGGAGAACCCGCACCTTCAAGGCCTATATCTAGGCCCGTAACCAAGATTCTAGCTTTGAGAGCTAGAGGTCCAAGGGACTTAGTCCTTCTGGTGGGGTAAATAAATACTTCGTCATCATTTTGATGCAAGGAGAAGCGATGGTTTGGTTTATCAGAGGGACTTCGCTCGAAAAGGCATTCAGCCAAACCATAAAGCCATCTTCTAAAGTTGTCAATCCATACTGATTACAGCAGACACATTCAAATTGAATGAATGGATGGTCATGCCATACAGGTACGCCGGTCGTTTCATTCGAATAAACCTCACTTTTAATAAATGTCCTACCATCTACTAAACGCATCTCCAAAACATAATTTGAAAATTCTCCCTGAAAAAAAAACCAAAAAACAACAACACAGGGCCTTAATTCTTTTCATTGAATTAACGCTTTCACATCAGTGTGAACAAACCCAATGAAACTATTTACCATTCTTGACACTATTCTATCAGCATTGTTTCATTCAAGTATAATTTTAAGAGGCGTTTATGTTACAGTATAAATCCATTTTACACGAAAAACAATCCCTCAAAT